ATTATTATTATTATTATTATGTAACAGTAGAAACAGTTATTGATTATTATTAATGCATTCAAAAGTATTTAAGATGAACAACTATTATTTCATTCAAATAAATTGCTAGAAAAATGCTCCTATAATATTATTTTATAAAAGTGTACTATTTAATATTACTTTTTTTTAATTACTAAATCGTAATTGTTATCATGTTATCGTAAAGAACAAATTTGAAAATACTTTGTGAAAATTTAATACAATTTTAATATTTATGTATTATATAAAAATGTAAAATAGTGGAATGATATAGATATTATTTTCTTGAATCTCAATCCAATAGCATGCATTATTTATTACTGATCTCAAAGGTTTTGCACTTGACTTTTTTATGTTTTCGTATATATTTTTTTCTTACTCGCAGACGGTTCAAAACGAATTTTTATTTTGTTTTATTTTTATTTTTATTTTTTATTTGTTTTGWCAGTCACGAAAAATATTGACGAACTAAACTAAGTATTCATTTATTATTATCGTTGAAAAAATAAATAATTAAATGCTTGTAGTTTGCAATTAAAAATYATTAACTATAAATACTCGTATTTAAATATCTTTAAAACATAATTGTTATTATTTATCATGCTTTAATAAAACTGATAAACATAATTATATTTTTTTCAGATCTCAATGTTTGCGCCATGTTTAAAATCGGGTTGCTTAGTAGATTATTAATTAATAGGAATATATATATCTTTATCATTGTTTAAAAATATTATGTTCTGAAGAATGTTAGACAAAATATCGATAGATAATAGTTATTAGCTTAATCAATTATTGTCAATTACATTAAATTTGTACGTATTGGTTTATACATTTTTAATAAAAAAAAAAAATATTCAATTACACAATACTTTTATTTTAGTAAGAGTTAATTATTTTTATCATAACCATACATACAATAATTTGTATGTTTAAGTTTAATGTTTGGATAACATTTCAAAATGTATATAAAAAAGTCCAAATTATAACACTTTTTAGTATAAAATATATTTTTTATACTAATTAGTATTTAACATGACCTATTAATATAAAAAATTTTATCGAGAGAAATCAACCAAGATAACAAAAACAAAAAAATTTTAAAAATAAATATACACATAATGTATGTAGTAATAAGTTTTTATAAAAATATTAAAAATATAATATGCTTTGTGCATTGTAACTACCTAGCTCATAATCTGAAAAATAACCAATTTCATATTTGTCAGCTATTTATAGGTACTTAGATGATAAACCTGTTAAGTGTATCATTGAAGTTGATGTTATTGTTAAATTTGAATTTTTATACTAAATCACACGAGCAGTGTGAATATAATATTTTATCCATACCAATATAAACAGACTTTTAAAAATTAACGACTGATGTGTGATTAATAATTATTCCAATACTATATTCATAACATTGAATTGTATACATTCATCGTGTTTCGGAATGTATTATTTATCTTGATCTGCAATGATCGATCTGGTTTCGATTCGTGTTTTACGAGTTACGAATGCCGCATTAACAATCAATAGACCATTTATCTTAAATGACGTGTRTGCGTATATAATGGCAAAACATGTTTATCTTACGCCGATTTATATCGAAATTCATTAACATCATGCTCGGGATATCGATTAGGCATAATATTATTATATTGTTGTGACAGACGACTGCTGGCTGTCCGGGATTTTAATGCGAATTCGTAGTTTTTCGAAGCCCCCCCACCCAAAAAAATAAAAAAAAATTACGCGGCCACGATTTTTCTTTTCGTTAATCCTTTGACGGTCTAACGTATGTTAATCGTTTAACGAATTACACATCGTTCGTCAATTCATGGAAAAAGTTGCAGTTTACCTACACGTTTTAATGGTGGGTGTAATATATCATATTGTTATTCTGTTATCCATAAGCCGCCAGGCAACCGATGACGTTCGAACGGTGGTGAGGGGGAGAGGGGTGGGTACCTCCACAAAAAAAAAGTTCTGAGTAAGTAGGTACGTTAAAAACTCTAATAATCGTGATAATATTTTAGTCCTAAAACATAGGTTAGGTATAAAAAACAGTGGTAGAGCGGTATAGCATTATGTTGTGATGTAAGTAGGAAATTCACATTTAGACATTTTTAAATTAGAAATTTCCTACCCTCGGTATAATTTTCGAGAATCTTTTTTTTATTTATATTAATTTTATTGTGATGTATTTTGTTGATGAAACAATATTAAACATTAGGTACCCTACTTACTTGATATTATGATTAAAAACAAAACATTTTAATTAATACGATTTGTATATATTACAGTGTATATTTAATGTTATGATATTCTAAACTTCAAAAATTGATGAATATTTCTAATTTTTACACTCTTAAAATAAAAATAAAGTTCTATTAGATAATAAAATTTAACTTTTAGACTTTAGAAATGTTGGAAATTCCCAGAAATTTCTCATCGAAAATTGCTTGAATATTAAATTCAACGAAACCGTGCAAGAACAATTATTTAAACCTTGCAGACTCGTGTCATGGTCGTAGTCTTCATCGAAATTCGAATGCGTCGGACGCCAGGAAAAACGGAGCGAGAAAAAACTATCATTTTTTTTCCACCGTTCATTAAAAATTTTTAAAAAACGACGTCTCGAAAAATTAATCAAGTATAACGTCAACATTGAACCGCGGCATGTGTTGTATATACATACACGGACCGTACAATAACTACTATATACAATATAACCATATTATACCCTGCCTTCCATTGTGGTGCCTATACGTTACGAGTTGTTTGCGTGAAAAGGAGGAACGGAATATAAAAACGGGGACGAAAAAAAAAAAGAAGAAGAATCACACAACGGTCCGTGGCAGCTGCGGATTCGACTCGGCCCTCGTACGGGACAGGCGGAATTTTTTTTTCCTTTTTTGTCGTCCCGAGCAGCGATCCCCATTGTGGCTCGGAGGACCAAACATCACCGCCACGGTAAAGGGATGAGGGCGCGCGGAGGGTGGGGGTTAATTTTTTTTCCCAGAATCTTTTCATACGCGCGGGTGTGCGTGTGTGTGTGATGTAAGTGATCGTCCGAGTGTGAATAAATTCGGATTTTCGAGCAATGATCAATGGGCTGGTCGGGGTCGATCGGTCTCGCCGGTGCAGCGATGGATTTAAAGTGCGAGGAATATCGAAGAAAAGAAGTAGAAAACATCGAGTATAATATAGGCAACGCGCACACGACCCACACGTCGGTCGTCGGTAAAGGCACACACACACACATTTGGTCACACGTCTATATATAGGCGCGACCGACACGGATTTGGCCGTTTTCACTCTCTTTTCGGAGTGCCGGGCACATTATATTTTACTTTATGATATTATGTATCGTGTGTGTACCTACCCATATCATAATACGCGTGTGCTCAAAACATAATATAATACGTGGGGTATAGGTCTTGCACTATACACATACCTATATATTATTGTATAATATTATACGAAATGACGTGGTGATCCGTGTGTAGGTCTATACGTCATGATGTTATGTGTGTGCGTTGGGATTCGGAAGATTAACCGACAAAAAAAAAAACTCGAATGTGAAGAAAAATCTGCGCTCCACTCGGCGGCGATCTGTTATGGATGTTAGCCATGCGTGTTATGATGTGTTATTGCACGCGATAGAGACGGTGATGTTTTCACAGCTCCTTTTCGGTGGCCGTCACGGACCGATTCGGCACGGTCGACAACACGTATTTCACCGAACAAAAACCACGCCGACCCACCGCGGTTAGGTTAGGTCCAAGATGTTGTCCGCGTGAGGACAAAAAATATYTGGTGTCGTACGCGATTCATCGTGTTTATTATTTGTTTTCGTTCTTGAACCGCGGCAGCGGTCCCACGTCGCTGCCAGTCGCATAACGTGAAAATCGACAGACTTCGGAAGCGACGACCTTAGATAGGTAGGTAGGTAGGTAGGTAAGTGTAGGTACACTTGACTGACATTGCGAAGCAGTGTGTGCGTGCGCTTAGTGCACATTCAGCCAAAGAAAACGACAAGAATGACGTTATGAAATAATGTCTGAAGCTGTTTTTTAAGTTTCTGCAATCCCGACGATCACACGTTAGTAAATTAGTGTTACAGCGCCACGTAAAATATAGTATGATATGATATTTTTATTTTTTATTTTTTTGTCAAACACTTAAATTTATTGGCATCGCGCGACGAAACGCTATGGAAACATCTCCGCGTTTGATARTCGTTTATAATCAATTTTGTAATATTATTATATTTGTACAACCGTAATCTGTTCGCACACGCATTTTTCTTATAATTACACAGAGACAGTTAACATTTAGATTAGTCGCGATTACGGATGATATTATTATGTTTATATTTTGTGTATGTAAACGATTGCGTCATTATGTTTATACACTTTCTCGTGTTTGTATATTTTATAGCGATAATGTAAAAYGCATTTGCAAATATAATTTTAATATAATTTTACAATGACAAAGTAGGTTTTGGTAAACAGATAATGTTAAACAATCAAACGCAAAAATAAATGCATTCCCCTGATATGTGATGATAAACTACCATAATAATTAATATAAAAAAAAAAAAAAAATGACTGTTCTGTTTAATATTATTTTAAATGACCACAGACTTTAATATTTAATAACAATATAACGTAGTATATTAGAACATCCGTATCTATATAGATACTTGTATTTACATTGTTTATACTGACTGTGTGCGTGTGTGAAAGATTTAATTAAATTTAATATAATGGCGAAACAATTGTTTACTTTAAACGAGTTATCGTATTATGGACTAAATAATTGTATAAATAAATTCAAATATGACATCATTCCGACATGAATATGACCCGCGGGTTCTGCAATCATAAAATTATGTTATTTTACATTGATAAATCCATTTGCATTATTAAAATATACCTAGGTAGGTAGATACAATAAATTACCATAYATGATATWATATATTTTTTTAATTCAACATTTTCTGTTGAATCGTCGCATGAATATTAATCATAATAATATTAACTCTACCGGTATGATAAAAAGAAATAAAGGTATAATAATATGCAGCTGCTTGTTGCCTAACATTGATTAAATGTTGAATTTGATTTAATATTTAAGTTGGATTGAACTTAAGTATAAAAATACATACAGCAAAAACTCTCTRTAACGAATCTGAAGGGACCATGTGATTTCKTTCGTTATTGAGAGTTTTCYTAATGACCTAATAGAGATTAGAGAGTAATTAATAGGTTTTAAATCAAACCAGCCATTTTAAGTTAACTTAATGTTATTTACGTARTAKAGAGTTTTTCGTTGTAACAAGTTTCGTTATAAAGAGCTTTCACTGTATTTCAAAAATTTCAAATAATAATTGGTAAATTTATATTATTTAACATAATATTATTATTATGATAATACGTTCAGTACCGGATCACGTAAAATCGGATATACGTTATAACTTCACTAGTAACTATGCAGACAGCAAGGCGTGTCAAATTGGGCACAAATGATCAGTGAAACCAAGTTTGTGGTGTGTGTGAGTCGTGCGCTCGCCCGACTATTCGACGAWATTTTTYTATTTCACAATGTTCTAAAATACATTCCATTTACATAAAAATGTTTATATCGAAAATAATAATTATTCTATTAAACAGTATTTATCATTATTATTTTTCTTCTATTATAATACTTTATTTCCTATGGTGTATAACTTATTTTCAGAAATATCACTTAGATATCAATAATGTTGTATTCAATTGTGGTTTGCTGATATWTTTTTTWAAATTA